TTGCAGAAACGTTTAAACGCGGCGGACTTCTCGCTGTTTGCGTCGGTGCAATCCTTATCCCACCACGGAGTGAGAGGTCGTTTGCGAACGGAACCACCCTGAACTCGTTTCATCTGTGCTTGAGAAGCGCAGTCAACGATAAGTCGCGATAAAAAGGAGTACTCGTCCAGCAGAGGGAGTATCTCAACCGATTCAATACCACCGAGAACCGTGGCCGCAAATTTTTGCCAGTCGATGTTTTTTGTAAGATCGTACGCGATGTCAACCGAGCAAGTGAAAGATGAACCATTGGTAATAGAAATTTTGATTGGCAAGTGGTCACTACTGCAGGGATCTTGATTTACTTTCCACGAGCAATCCAACGATAGTGAACTCGAACTGAGGGAGAGGTTTAATCTACTTTCTCTTGCTGGAGGTTTGGCCACTCGTGTTACTTCCCCAGTGTTTAGAATTGTCATATTGAAGTTATCGCAAAGGTCGTATATCAGGGTTGAGCGGTTGTCATCGTACAGTTCCCTGTACCGTGGGAGTTAAAATCTCCTAAGATCAACCGAGGCTCAGATAAATCTGAGCAGATATCTGAGAGACCTTGGCGAGAAATCGCAGTTCTTGGAGGAAGATATACTGAGGCTTTTGCCTCGAATATTTACCTGACATGCAACAACTTCAATGCCTGTCACGGGAGGCAGATCGATTTTATGAAAGGAATGGAGTTTATTAATCCCGAGAAGCACTCCTCCATACGAGTCTGCTCGATCAAGGCGAATAATGTTAAAATCGTGGAAAGGGAGATCGGTGTCTGAGGAAAGCCATGTTTCACAAAGAACAAATGCATCACAAAGTGAGTTGTGAAGTAAAAATTTGAATGTGTCAAGTTTCGGTATAAGACTTCTACAGTTCCACTGAAGAACAGAGATCATATCCCCGACCTCATTCGGAAAATTATCCATCAAAGGATATAATCGATGCAAGGAAGGACCACCTAGAAGCTAGTTGCTTCAAAAGAGTTTTCACAAATGGAAGCACTAAATTAATAATGTTCCTAGTTGAGTCAGAGACGTTGAATATATTGAAGACGCTCTCCACAATTCCAGAAAACGTGAACATGGCATCATGTTCTTGCTGATTATTCTGACTGAAAAACTGGGATATCTGAGGTTTTAGATGATCCCGGAAGTGGCGGAAAGTCCTTGTTAAAATTACAAGATTTAAATCCCGGTGGTGGAGGTTTCGGTACATTTCCGCTACCTCTTAAATTTGTCAAGGTAGGGTGGGAGTCCATACGAGAGGTCTTACGGGGATTTTGAGTGACGTTTTTTTTAATCGCTTTCTCGTGTTGCCTTTAAAGACAAAGGGACTACCTACACCAACCTCTGAGTCAGAGCCCTGATCATCGTCTGGCAAACTGGAGTATGTGTTTTTGGCAAGGACCATTTGCATGCAGCTCGCCACATTGATCGCAGCTCGGTTTGTTGGAGCAGAAGTCAGCGGTGTGACCAAGTTGCTTGCATTTTGAGCAGTTCATTACCCGCGGTACAAACAAGCGTACAGGCAGTCGAACCTTCCCAATTACGACGTAGTCAGGTAGCGCCGATTCTGAAAAGGTCACACGGAACGAGTCTGACAGAGAGTACGTTTTTTCCGTGCCAATAAGAGACACTGATTGCATTTGGATGCAATCCAGAATCTTTACTTTCGGAAGGGGACGGTTTTTAAAAATACCGAAGGATTCGGCATGAAGGAAATCTTCGCAAGTTAAACTCGCTTCGATGACGACTCCTTCGATTTCTACGTTGCAACTGGGGATGTAGACTCGATATTCCATCGTAAAAAGCTCATAGGCAACAATCCGGTTTGCCTGCTTCGGGTCATCAACGGTAACGTGCAGTTTGTTTGGCGTCACCTTTAAGATATCGGTTACGGCCGAAAAATGTTTTGTCAGATCCTTCGAAATCCGAGAAATATTCAAAGGTTTTTGTTTGGACCGGAAAAAAACAACCCACGGACCTTTTGAGCCGCTTGGGTAAGCTTTATGGCGGGGGGTCGCAGAAATTTTTAAGAGAACGGTTGGAGTAGGGGGAATAGGTGGACGAGGGGGCAATGGTGGAGAAGGGAGGGGGCAGGTGTGCAGGAGGCTGTTGTTTAGACATCACCTTTGGGTAAGCTCCAGTGCTCGTTTTGGGGTCCAAAGTAGAGTCCCCTGAGGTATCAATTTTATCTTCAGTGAGAAGCAGATTTTCTAATGATGGAGATTTAACAGATAACGGAGATATCTGCTAGCGAAATACCCCCGCCATCATTGGTTTCATCCATATCCAAGTCTTAGGTACCCCCGCAACAGATTTCGACATAAACAAGAAAAATGAATATGCGTAAAGAAAACAAAAAAAAAATAAAAAATAAAATAATAATAATATAAAAAATATAAGAAAAAAATTTATCCCGAAAATATAACGGTAAAATAATACTTAATCCAAAAGAGCAAAAACAAAATGTGCCAGGAAAGTTAATGAACACCATAGGGAGATTAATCAAACAGCAAAAAAAAACAGTAAGTGAAAAAAAAAAAAAAAAATGAAAACTTTTTCAGGAAAAAACAAAAAGGTGTCAGAAAAGTTAATCAACACTTTAGGGAGATTAATCAGATTGCAAAAAAAAATTGCAAGTGAAAAAGAAAAAGAAAAAACATGAAAACTTTTTCAGGAAAAAAACAAAAAGGTGTCAGAAAAGTTAATCAACGCTGTATGGAGATTAATCAGGTTGCGGAGAACGGAAGATAACCGTTTGTTACTTAAAGGCCGGCGCACAACGGATACGTTTTCAAGTTTTTTGACAGTTAGCCCATGCATTATCCAGTCGGTGCTTTGTTGCAAACACTCGAGGGCAACAATAGAATCAACAATCAATACGAAACTAACGATTTCAAATTGGCTCACTACTTGACTAGCCTATTGGTCCCAAGCAAATCGACTAACGTACCCCATTCTAGTATAAATTCCAGTACTACACTATGTTTGTTTTGATTCGCTATGAAAGTTTGACAGATAAAATGAGGCGTTAGTGGATTTTCTTATGTTTCGAGGGGTGAATCGATTAGCTTGGGACCGAAGATAGTACCAGAGCTGAGCCAAAAAGTTGAGTTCGTTTCTTAAGGACCTTCTGGTCTTAGAGTTACCTCTATGATAGAACCATAGAGGTAACTCAGAGAACCATAGACTAGTAGGTCTCTAAGAAACGTGCTCAACTTTTTGGCTCAGCTCTGGTACTATCTTCGGTCCCAAGCTCGGTTCCAAGCTAATCGATTCACCCCTCGAAACATAGAAAAATCCACAAACCCCTCATTTTATCTGTCAAACTTTCATAGCGAATCAAAACAAATAAAGTGTAGTACTACACGGATAGAAATCTCCTTATACCTTTTGGCAAATTTCCATTGCTGATTATTCATAAAATGTATAAGTCAACTAATAAGCAGACGCCTTGCACAAAGTTAATAAAGATCATGTGTCAAATGAAATGTATAAGCAGTCACACATACCTTTTATGCATTCTAATAGGACCTATGTGGTTTGTCTTATGGAATGTATAAGGCTGATGCTACCGGGGACCAACGGCTTTACTTCCCTTCCGAAGGAAGGCGTGATCAGAGATGTTATGCCTCAGAACATGCCGGCTCCGCCAACTGGGATTGAACCCAGGCCTGCTGGGGTGAGAGGTAATCACGCTTACCACCACACCAACGGCGCCGTTAAATTTATTTTTCGTCAACCGAGATTTTCGGTAACTTTGAAAGATTGTGGGCAACAAAAAGAACTCGACAGTGAGCATGCATAAGGGCGAATACGCGATGATCGATTCTCTTTACCGATTTTATCTTTGCATTGCTACAGCTAAGCGAAACAATTTTCTAGAATTTGTTCAATGCAGAGTAGTAACAGGTTGTATTGGCTATCAAAAGCAATAGCAAACGCACCGAGAAACGTTAAATCTAGCAAGTTATTAACAAAAGAGAAAATCGACGAAGAGAATCGATCATCGCGTATAGGCCCTTATGCATGCTCACTGTCGAACTAACAACAGCTCGGTTATTCCTCTTTGAACCGAACAGACTACCGAGCGTTCAGCAGATAGAAACTCGGTTGAAATCAAACCGAGTTCGGTAATATTTTCTAAGTGTGTACACGAAACGAAAATCAATTATTTAATTCATGTGTTTCACTTATACATTTTTGCCAAAGCATCAGCCTTACATTCCATAAGACAAACCACATAGATAGGACCTATGAGAATGCATAAAAGGTATGTGTGACCGCTTATACATTTCATTTGACACATGATCTTTATTAACTTTGTGCAAGGCGTCTGCTTATTAGTTGACTTATACATTTTATGAATAATCAGCAATGGAAATTTGCCAAAAGGTATAAGGAGATTTCTATTCGTGTAGCATGACAATCATTCTGCAGAGAGTATTACGCATTTCAACTGAAGGCCCTAATAATTTTCATCCTCTAGCCGAGAGGAAAATCATTTGATTTCAATACAACCGTCATCCGATTTCGATGTTTCGTTTTGAACGGTCGGTCTAGGGTTTCATTCGATCAGAGGATTGTGTTTGTGTACAGTGTAGTCATTATTGGGTATTTTGCGGTTACCGTGTAGTAAGTGTCTCGGCTCAAAAAGCGGGCTTTTTCTACTATCACGGTCAACTACCGATACTCATCTGGGGGCAACTCCGGCGTAGTTATACGTTTTTCTTGAATTATTTTGGGCAATTGCCGAAATTCTTTCAAAGACATTGCTAAATTCTATTTTCTTGTGCATTTCATCCATTTCATACCAAAATTTCGCAGAGATACTGCAGTTTAAACTTTATTTTTGTCATGTGACCGGTAATCGGTATCATCCCGGTACGGAAGGCAAAAATAACATGCGCGCGGGATTGATAAAAACCAAAACAAAAAGGTCGTTTGACGTTTCCACTGTCAAGACAAGTTTTTCACTTTTTCAGGATTGAATCAATCGCAAAATTTAAGTACGGATTAAAATCGCGTAAATCCTGCTTAAATTTGTTCGCCGAAATGTTGTGAATATCATAAACAGCAACAGGGAACGAGGGTGATAGTTTATGAATCGGAATCGTTGTGAAAAAGCTCGGGTTTATCGGGAAATTGGATTCGGAAAATTTCGCCCTGTTTTGAAGTGATTGTGTTGAAGAAAGGGAAGGAAAAAAAAAGTGCCATGATTTTGTTTCGACCACGACGACGGAATAACATCAAAAGGATAATGAATCTGTTCCAGATTTTACCGGCGCTGGCATTGGTCGCGTTATTGGTAGATTCGGCATTGGCTACCGGAAATGGACCAACCGTTGCAGCTGGTTTAGTTACGGACGATTTATCGGCTAGCAGGCAGGATCAAGAGCAGCAGCAGCAATCGATGTCCCAGCCCCAGTCGGAAATGAAATTATGTCCACGCATGTTTCGGCATGTCTTCGATGGATATGTTCCTAAGGGTGAGTGTAGGTTGCATTTGTCGAGGGGAAAGGATAACAGCCTTCCGAACAACGACGGATGGAACCAGCGGGAAATCGTAGCTGTTACTGAGGATTGCTTTGAACAGTAATGCTCACCAACTGCTGCTAGCTAGCAGCCAGTGGGTGGCTTGTTGATATTTTATCGATTAGTTAATGGTTGTTTACGTTTGGTTTGAAGCACATCATATGGGTTTAATTTTGCTTGAGAGCAGTTCATTGCGTGTCCGCTGTGTCAATGCATGTACATATTTATGTAGAGGATATTTTTATTGGTTAGCATCCATGTTACGCTAATGCCGCGGATACACTTAGATGACAAACTATGAGCATGATTTGTATAATAATTACGAGCACTATACAACAACTAAACAAGTGTGACCATGAGGGCTCATAATTTATTATACAAATGATGCTCATGTTCATAGTTTGTCATACAAGTGTATCCGCGGCATAAAGGTCACGAGTTTGAATCTCTTCCCTGGACTAAATGACCTATTGTGTGTTAAAGTGACCAATACTAAAAAAGGATCTGAGTCCAAAACGCAAACCGGTTGGATATGAGTTTTTCCAATTTGAATGAAACATTACTCAAATATTCGCTGCTACCAATGGTTGCATTTTTCATTTAAATGTGTTTTTTTTTCACAATAACTTTTGAAAAGGGTTAATACCCCCTCAAATATACAATTCTTTGCTTCGCCGACAACCATTGTAAGGCGTTTAGCATCAAAATTGAGGAAGTGAATCTATTGCATCTCGAAATCAAACGCATTATTTTATTCTGCAAGCGCCCTAATCTCGATATTTGTATTTCATTGGACAGAAATAAAATGGATGGGCAAAAGTCTAGATGAGGAGAGATGATTGATTTGTATAGCTGTATTTTACTGGCAATAGTTAAATCGTTTTTCAATCGACATAGAATTCTTGATGACATTGTCAATGTGAGAGTTGAACTTAAGTTTGTCATCAATAATCACGCCAAGATATTTAATCTTTCGAACGCGATCAATAGTCTCATCATCAATTACAACAGAGACGTTCTCATTTACTCTATTCCGCGAAATTACCATAAATTTAGTTTTACTTGTATTCAATTTCAATTGCTTATACTTCAACCATCTACTTAAAGAACGCAAATCTTCATTTATGTGTAAAACGGCATCATCTAAATCCTTGAATAACACAGTATCATCTGCAAAAAGATTAATGTTGCAAAATCGTAAAACACGTCGCAAATCATTAATATACATAATAAATAACAGGGGCCCTAATACTTCCCCATGGGACTGGAAACAGAATCATCTGTCAGACAAATTACATATTGCACACTCTGTCATATCTATCCACCTATACACATAAACTTTACATGCAACACTACAGAGACACAAGTAATAACAAACGAAAGCAGAAATTTACAAAGTCGCAGCTTACTAAAGGGTGCCAATAGCATGCCGGCGAAGGAAAAAAACACAAAATTGAACAAGAACCAGCTGCAGCAGCAACCGTTCTCCTACTTATCCACTAAATGATCACTACGGGGCATGCGTAGGATCAATTCTACCGCGGCACAAGCACAATTTCACACTTAATTAATCGAATATTTATCACAGCACTGCGAAATAAACTATAACCAATACCATAATCAAGTTTGCTGAACCAGTTCTATACACGAAAAAGTGAAGGAATATTATTTGCCAATACATTTCAACCAATATGCCCGTATAAATTTTAAATCATAAGCGCCAGCTCGTGTTACATCCCAGTGAGCAGAAATTTTCAGAAAAGGGTTTTCTCACCTAATAGCACATATCTAGGGGTTGACCCGTTGAAAAAAATGATAAAAAATTTCCCCCATGTAAATGTGGGCCAGTCTAAGGAACATGGTATTTACATGCTCAAAATATTATCAGCAAAAAACTTACGGTGCGCACCGTTCGATTTGACTACAAATGTAGTGGAAAGCAATCGAAGAAAATGGTTTATGTCAACAATTGCATAACGCATGGTAGATTCAACCATTATAACGATTACTAGCAGCCGATAATCTCAACTACGGTTAATGGTCAAAAATACTATTTAATTTCTGGCAAGTGCATGGTAATTTTTAGTGAAATTCTATAGAAATTGTCGTAATTTCAACTATTTTATGACATGGTAGCAATAAACATAGTAGGGGTATTCACAAGGTGCATCGTAAATGCGTAAACTTCCATTACACTTCAATGGACCCTGGTATTTTTACGACAGTGTGTATGTTTACGATGCGCGTAGTGAATACCCCTAGTTCTCTTGCACGAATTAGATACTACACAATTATGCTCAGTGTATGGAATGGCGTATAAAAATTGTATGCAGATCTTTTATTTATTTTTTTAATAAATAAATTCGACAGTGAGTACGCATAAGGGCGTAAACGCGATGATCGAATCTCTTTATCGATTTTCTCTTTACAAAGCTACACTGCCTATAATCCCATTTTAGTCCCATATGGAAAAAGTATGCATTGAGAAAATGGTACTTGAAGTTACGAAGTGCGAATCCCATGTAAATAGTTGAAAAATCATAGTATATTTATTAATATTTTTTCAAGTTAAAATTAGCTGCATTAAAGCTTGCATGTTATGTTACATCTGCGAAAAATATGGTAACTTGAAAAGCAGAAATGTAACTTCACCTCTGGACGATTTAATTTATGGATAGGACTGATCACGGTATACATAACAAGGTAGGCTACTCTCGACAGTAAATATAAAGTTTGGATGTAAACATATGACGTCATTCCTATCTTTGGGCAGCGCTGACCGTAGTAACGCGAATCGTGAAGTGCGGGTTTGATTTCTTGAAAATGGTGAAGTGCGCTATTATTAATTGCCAATATTATGAAGGGAATAAACTGTGTTCGGTACAGTTAAAGTATTTTTGGTTTCTACGTGAAGAAAATTTGAAAGCAGTGTGGTTGAAAGCCTGCGACAGAGATTCAAATTCGCAACAACATTTGAAAATTTGTTCGGAACATTTTTGTGAGCAGGATTACAGGCTGATGGATATCTTGTTGAACACGGAGTAGCCAATTCGAAGGCTGAAACCAGGGGCCATTCCTAGTCTGAAATTACCATCGCAGAATGGAATTGTTCCATTTTTAACTTTGCAACAGAACTCCGTAATAAGGTTTAATTAAACTTAAACATAAATTGACCTTAACGATATCTTCTCCTACTCTCAGCCTGCAATCGTCAGAGGAATACACAAATGCCTCATGGGAATATTCTCTCCATGCTACCTCGGCTTTTATTGAAAAGATGTGGCTGTTCACCCGGTTATGTTTCATGTCGTTGGTGTCCAATCTGGTAGTTGTTCAAACGGGGTAAAGGGTGTCCACGATGAAATTGCCACACTATGAAATTGCTCTAACTTTTTAACCGTTGGGTAGAATTTAATGAAAATTTGGGTGGATTTAGTTCATAGTGCATTATTTACATCCTGCAAGTTTTAAAGTCCTGTGATCAAAACTCGCGGAAATGGAGTCGAAAGAACAGCTCGTGCGTGATAAAATCTTGCGCATTCATTACGAGAACAAGGATCTCTCGCATCGTTCCATCGCTAAAACGTTGGGAATCGCGAATTCCACGGTGTCGCGTGTGATTAAGCGGTTCGAGGAACGGTTGACCACCGATCGGAAGCCCAGAAGTGAAGGAAAAAGTATTCCGTACAACACCAAAAATCACAACCGCGTAGTTGGGGCCTTCAACCGAAATCCGAACGCCTCCGTTAGGGATGTGGCTAAGAAGCTGCACCTAAGCCGAAGTTTTGTCCAGAAGGCCAAAACTAAGGCTGGGCTTCGAACGTTCAAGGTACAAAAGGCCCCTAATCGCGACGAGAAGCAGAACAAGTCCGCCAAAACCCGTGCCAGGAAGTTGTACCTCAACATGCTGACGAAAGTTGAATGCTGCATCATGGACGACGAAACATATGTGAAGGCCGACTTCAAACAGATCCCCGGCAACCTGTTTTTCACGGCCAAGGATAAGTTCAGCGTTCCGGAGCATGTCCGCTCTCAGAAGATGTCCAAATTTGCGAAGAAATTCCTGGTTTGGCAAGCCATCTGCACGTGCGGGAAGCGGAGTGCACCTTTCGTGACCCAGGACACGATGAACGGACAGGTGTACATAAAAGAGTGCCTCCAGAAGCGGCTGCTTCCTCTCCTGAAGGCCCACAACGTCTCAACAATCTTCTGGCCGGATTTGGCCTCATGCCACTACTCCAAGGACGTGCTGAAGTGGTATGCGGACAATAAGGTCAATTTCGTGCCGAAAATGTTCAACCCTCCCAACACTCCGGAGCTCCGCCCCATCGAGAAGTACTGGGCGATTATGAAGCAGCACCTTCTTAAACGACCTAAGGTAGTGAAGACAGTCGAGGAACTGAAGAAAGTATGGGTTTACATGCAAAAAACGGTTGATTCACAGGTTGTGCAGAATCTTATGGCCGGGGTTAAGGCCAAGGTGCGGGCATTTGCGTATGGACTGTAAATAAAATACGAGTAAAATGGTAAAATGAAGATTAATAGTTATTTCTCAATCCCTGAAAATTTGATGGCAATCGGATGAAAACTCGAATTTTGCGAATCAATTTTGTGTGTGGCAATTTCATCGTGGACACCCTTTAATCAGTAGATCGACAGTTTTTAAAAATGTAGCTATGTGATACTAAAACATTACTTCTAGGAAACTTTTGGAAAGTTCTTTTAGAAGCGAGAATTCGGAGTTGAAGAAAAAGAGAACCGAAGGAATGGCAATGGCAGCGGAAGCGGAACGGCAGCGGAAGCGGAACGGCAGCGGAAGCTGACCGGCAGCGGCAGCGGAAAAGCCCGATCTGAGTAAGCCTGCTTGTCGGATTGAAAACTAGTTAGAACCAAATCGACTTCGGTTAGGCTTTTTGATGTCATTTGTGACAACTGTCAAACTTTCCGTTTCCGTTCCGCTTCCGCCCACATTGCGCTTGGGCCTTAAGGCATACATCTTCCTGCTGCAGAAGTCCAAAGTATTGAATGGCAATGTTTTCAAGATATTTTCAAAGGGGCAGCTGCGAAAATTAAGGGATCCTCATCAGCGACGGGTTCAGTGGACACCAGATGACATATCTCATGCAATATCGTTACATGCTGCTGGTACCAAAGCATACCGATTGCTTTGGTCACGAGGATTTCCTCTACCTGCAGTTTTGACTCTCAAGAAATTAGCAGGGAAATTAAAGATATTTTGAAACAAGTGCTGCAACGGCGCCGGTGGTGGTGTAGTGGTAAGCGTGATTACCTCTCACCCCAGCAGGCCTGGGTTCAATCCCAGTCGGCGCCGCCGGGATGTTCTGAGGCATAACATCTCTGATCACGCCTTCCTTCGGATGGGAAGTAAAGCCGTTGGTCCCCGGTTCATGAGTTGATGGGTCGATAGGTAGGGTCCAGGTGTGGGAGAGCTGCCTTCCTGGCACGTCGGTAGCATTGGTGCTCAGCACGGAAAACAAGATCGACGGAAAAAACAAACCAAAGGAAAAAAAAAAAAGAAACAAGTGCTGAACCTTTTGGAAAACAGTGAATATTTCGAAAAAGAACGGGTTTGCGTTTTGTAATTCGATGAAATGAAAATCAAATCAGTTTTGAGTACCACGGGAGTTGCAATACAGGTTTGAAACCATCGAAGTACGACCAAGTAGGAATGGCTCGAAGTAGTCGAGTTGTTGAACCTCCAGCCAAATGAACTAAAGATTTGCCATAAAATCACGTTAATCCATTTGGATATCAAAGATGCTGCCCGTCAAAAGGTAAAATACGCGGTACAGCTATTATCAAATTCCGTCTCACAGACAATTAGAAGAGCTGTAAGTTGAGGCGAGATAACATCTCAAGATGCTTTTAAAACTAGTGATTTCATAAAAAAATAATGAATGATTGGTTTGATTTATTCAGTTAATCGTCGGCAACGAGGGTTATGAGAGAAAGGCTTAATTATTCGATCATACAAACCAAAAAAACATAAGTGATTCAAATGAACTGATTTGCATCTACGAGTTCCAAATAAATGTGCTCTTCTACCATGCCAAAAGGGTATTCTCATGAACAATGCAGCACTGCCCGAGCAAAGCTGAACATCAAATTGAAATCAAAATTTGCTGTTATGATGTAACTTATTTTGAATACTCCAGTTGATCTCATTTTGGTTGACTTAACGGTTAACACAGCAAAAATGAGAGCAAAATTTTACACTGTTGAAGCAAACGGAAAACTAATCCTGCTTTCAATGAAATCAATTTGATTACTGATTTTGCATTCATAATGTTTAACTGAATACGGGCCTAGAGTAAATGGTTACCATTCATGTTTCTCAAGCTGAAAGACTTAGGCTCCAATCTCACCGCGGGCAAGTCACGAATGACCTAAAATGTGTTAAACAAATCAGATAAACGATAATCATTAGTTCAACGACAGATGAATTTCAATTAAATTTTAAACAAGACGTAAACAGCAGAACTTCAAGTTAAGTTGCTTTCATTTAAAACGTCTTGACTGCATAATGAAAGCACAATATGATATCAGACTTATGTCGCAACATTTGAAATCAAAATGAGTTTTCATTATGATAGGAACTGCACACTTTAATATCGATTTGCTTTCATTTTGTTAACCGACTTTGCTCGGGTGGTTGGTTTGTCAGAATGTCTCTTGCCGTAATCCCTATTCTTAACAAGAAGAATACAACAAGATGATCTCGAATGTTTCTTTGGTACCATACGCTCAAATAGGGGAATTATATGATCATCCAACTGCCTTAGAATTCACCTACAGGTTGAGAAACAGCATTTTAGGTAAAATGACTTTATACTTTTCGTAGTGAAATATATTCTCACTTGAAGTAACATCCTTAGTAAGCCTAGACAGACTATGCTAGATTAATAAGTGTACCTAATTAATTATGCGAAAATTTAAAAAAAAATATGTTTATCAGGTCGTTCTGATGCAACTCAACAAGTAAACAACAGTAACGTAGAGGAAACAAATGAAGAGTATTATGAGCAGCAATTTACTGGTTGTTTGCTACGAAATATTGCGAGTCATGAAGTAAAAGAGACTGGATGCGAATGACCGCTAGACGACAATATTAGTGCTGATTTGGAACAGGAAAATGATTCATCACACTGCTAAGAGTTTGAAGAGGATGCGATTGAATATATTGCAGGATATGTTATCAAAAATCTCAAACTTAAAATGTCACCACCGGACGAATCCGTTTTCCGGGTGGATCAAGTTTCCAAAGGTGGTTTGATAAAACCAGACCGTAGTTTTACCATCAAGATGATGTCATTAGACAACGTATTCAAACGAGTTCATGGTGACACGTTTGATGTAGAGAAAAAAGCCATTGAATTTTGTATGAACACATCTAAGGATGTAGATTTACCAGATAATGCTAAAAGATTGATTTTCAGAACACGCTTGTATATCCGTATCAAAAGTCTAAACCGTAATATTGCAAACGCTATGAAAGCAAAGAAAAGGAAAATGAAAAAGATCGTTGCTTAGAACACTCTTCACAGGAAAGAAGAAAATGTTTGCCATTAAGTAATTAATTATGAAACCTTGGAAGAATTTCTAACATGCATCGTACTGGTGACGTACTTAATCAACATAACCAAAAATATAACGGTCGTTTAGGATTATAATGAGCTGACTTTTCATCGGAACTACACAAATATATAACGGCTCCCTAGAAAAATAAATCATTATTTCAAAACGGTTAATCGTTTGCAATTCCATCATCAAACATCATAAAAACCATTAGTGCAGCATTTAAATTAAACGTACCAGACACAAATCACTATATTTTCCAGGAACAACATATTTCATGCATAGAATACAACATAAACAAAATTTATTCAATTCACTAACTACGCTTCTACACTGCTTCCTCTTCCGCTTGTTTTCGAGATGGATAGCAATGACGTCATCACGCAAGTGTCATTTTCCGGAATATCTCATCTCTATTAGTGTACACCGTGTGACTGATATGCGATTACTTTGCTTGATGGGACAAACTGACTTCATGTTGTTTTCACATTTTCCATGATCAATGTCCGTAGTTTTATAGCATAATATGAAAGTAAATGCCAATCGATGGTGGATAGCGTTGTTATCTCAAAATTGGTGAAAATCCATATGGGACTGATATGCAATTAAAGGCAGTAAAGCTAAGCGAAACAATTTTCTGGGATTTGTTCAATGTAGTGCTGTAACAGGTTGTATTGGCTATCAAATGCAACAGCAAAGGCACCGAGAAACGTTAATCCAAGCGAGTTATTAACAAAAGAGAAAATCTACGAAGATAATCGATCATCGCGTTTATGCATGCTCACTGTCGAATTGCCAGTTCCTCCACTACTGGCACACCCACTCTATAGGTCTTATTCCGATACACACCGTACAACCGCCAATAAGCAGAACTATTGTAACATCTGACTCCGTTCCATTCCAGGTAATCGCGAAGCGGGTAACTACACTGAGTTCAGTAATGCCATGGACCTACAGTCCTGCGTGGACGAGTGCTGCGCCCTAGGAGATAACTGCAACACGGCATTCATGTTCAACCGGACGTGCTACCATGTCAAGTGCCTGAGCAATGAGCTATGCATGCCAGTGGTAAAGAAGAAGCTATCGACCACGTTGAAAATGGTGCTGGTTAATCCGGTCGGCGAAGAGGGCCGAACCTGGGCCGACATTCTGGATACGCAGGAAACACGTCTGTTCGGACCGGAACTGGAGCGAGTCGAGGGCAATATCATGAACAAGTTGAAAACGATGTACAACATGCAGCGAAACCGCGAGGAGTTGTCGGAAGGAATTTACAAGTTACCATTAGCGAACCCGCTGGAGTACGACTTAGGAAAGTATCCGGAGGCTTATATGAACGATCCGTACGGCGACGATCCCATTATGGCGGCGTCCAAGTTCTATCCGGACGACAAGGGTTGCACGGTGGGGATCGATAGTTCCTGTCCTGAACATGAGGTTTGTGTGCGATTGCCCCAGTCATACGGTATGGGTGAAAGAGTGTGTGATTGTGCAGAGCATTATAAGCGGAACAGTAATCAGCGGTGCGTGAGAGTAGATATACCGCAAACTCTGACGGCTCAGAAGCTCATTATGAACAACATTCATAGTGAGGCTGGAGAAATTGACGAAGGTAATACCGAGCCAGCCCTGTCGAATAAATTGACCGTTTCCGTAATTTCGAAAGATGTTCGTCTCCCGAACAATGAGGCAATCTTGACGGCTTACGTGATTCCGGATGAGGTTTCCAATCAAGATAAGTACACATACTCTTGGTCTTTGATTTCGCAACCTTCCAAGGGCGACAGCAATGCTACGATTACGGATCAAACCAAATCGCAAGCAAAGTTGTCCAAGCTTACCGAAGGACTGTACCGGTTCAAGGTTACCGTAACCGGTCGGAAAGGCTATGGCGAGGCTTATCCAAACATCACTGTCCTTCCGGAGCAGAAAATCAACAAGCCTCCAGATGTGGTGATAACTCCCACGGAACAAACCGTGAAATTTCCCAACCACAAAGCCATCCTGGACGGTAGTGCTTCAAAGGATGACGACAAAATAACCATCTGGCAGTGGGAACTTGTCCAGGGCCCGCTTGGTTATCAACCGGAGCTGCCAGCCGACAGCACGCTCCAGTTGAACGACCTCACCATGCCCGGAAAGTACACCTTCAAGCTAACCGTGATCGATTCGGAGAAGCTTTCCAACAGCACAACGGCCACGATCGAAGTGCTGAAGGAGATCGACTACCCACCGGAGGCGAACGCCGGCCAGAATGTGATTGTGTACCTTCCGAACAACAATGTCACACTGAATGGGTCGCTCAGCAAGGATGACCACGGGATTATCGCTTGGGAGTGGACCAAGGCCAGCACGGATCAATCCAAGGCGGTCGATATGCAAAATACCAGGACGCCCTATTTGCAGCTGTCTAACTTGGAGGAAGGAGTCTATGCCTTCGAACTCAAGGTAACGGACGGAAAGAACCAGAGCAGCACTTCGATTGTGCACGTGTTTGTTAAGATGCCCACCAATATGCCACCGGTTGCCAATGCGGGAGCTAATTATACGGTCACTTTGCCGCAAAATTGGGCAACCCTGAACGGAAGCGATTCGAAGGATGATCTACGGATTATGAGTTGGAACTGGCGGCAAATTAGTGGACCAAATACTGCATCGATCCTGAATGGTAACAATTCGGTAAGTGCCACACGGAATTCCTGCATTGATCCCTTCTAATGCGTTTTGTATTGATTCTAGATAGGAAATGCTACCTCGCTAACCATCGGTGACTACATCTTCGAACTCACCGTAACGGACGAGGTAAACAACAATGCCACCAGTCGGGTGAAGATTACAGTGATTCAGGAACGTAACACGGCACCGGTTGCGAATGCCGGCGGGGATCAGAGTGTTACACTGCCAACAAATGCAATTGTTCTGAACGGTACCCGCTCCAACGATGATCTAGGAATAGCAAACTACAGTTGGACCCGAGAGCCGGGTAGCTTAGCCATCGGGACCATCGTGGATGACAGCGATCGGAAGCCCGTGTTGATTGTAAGTTCTGCATCCATAGCACTACATGCTGCATTTCTTTCAACTTCATCAATTCTTTAGCTCACAAACATCGTTCCTGGTCGATACGTCTTCAAACTAACGGTCTCCGATAGTCAAGGGCTTTCCGGTTCCGACACGGTCAGTGTAATCGTTCATCCGGACCCGCTCGTCATGAGCTTGGTGGAACTGACGCTCACCATGGAAGCAACCGTCTTGACTCAGTCGGAACTGGACTCCCTGCAGCAGAAATTGGTCCTCTTGATAGGTGATAACACCGCTCGGTTACACATCCGTGATCTAAAAATTGAACACAAAACCAGTCAGGTCGTAATTGTGTTCTACGTCGAGAGACACGTACGTCTTCAAAACAAAGCTGCATTCGATTTCCAGGCTAATCTCGTTTACTTCCAGGACAAAGATCAACCGGACGTCATCCCCGCACTGGAAGTGGAGAAAATCCTCAAGGAAAAATTCTGGCGAGACTACACCATTCTCGGAACGTCCGTGGCCGGTATTCGGACGGCCATCTGCCAGAACGACTGCTCCGGCCACGGAGTGTGCAACGCAGAGACACGAGACTGCATGTGCCAGAGCTTCTGGATGCCGGATATCTTCTTTTTCTGGGGTGTGGCCGAAGCGAATTGTGGTAAGTAATCACCCCCACGGCGCATCGGTATTCCTTAATTGTGATGGGTTTTTTTTTTCTCAGATTGGTCGATCCTGTACGTCATCATCGGTGTGTTCATCGTGTTCCTAATACTGTCCGGCATCTGCTGGGGAATTACGTGCCTCTGCCGACGATCGGTAAAACCACGCACAAGAAATAAAACCCAAAAGTACTCCCTACTCGGCACGCACGACGATGAATTACCCACGTGTAAGTATGCGCCGTTTTTGTCAATCAAATTCCGCGACATAGGAATACTTTTTTTGTCCCCTGGCCTGGGGAATTATGCATGCAACACGGCCGATGAGATTTGAGTTGATGAGTCGTAAAATTTAGGAAAATCGAGGAAAATTTTACAACACGGCCGCAGAGAGTTACTCAAAATTACGTCGAATTCGACGCAAAATTGCAAAAAGTTACCAACGATGTAGTAAAATACGCTACAAGGGGAGGGAACTGTGCTTCAAGAAACTTAAACAAACGTTAAACTTTTGTCTAAGCTGATGAAACACCAACTTTAGACCCCGATGAGTTCCTGCACTTGCACTGCGATTTAAAAGTAAACTGAACTCAAATTTGGGTTGATCTGATTGGCCGCTTGTAAAATTTTCCTTGCTTTTCCTCAACATTCTGCTCAATTATGATGAAAATCGACGAAAATTTGTTTAGTATACTAATAGAGTCTTTCGAGCCTCCTCATATTCAAAAAGATTTTCCTGGAAAATCGAGGAAAATTTTATTCAGCCTGAATAACCTACAAGGCCAACTAAACAAACTCAAATTTGAGTTTCTTGCACTCAAATTCGCAAAAACGGTTATCGACGGTTAAAGCCATTGTTTACAAATGCAATAACGGTCACCAGCTTTCACTCTGCCAGCAATGAAAACAAAACTTCTCAGAGAACGAGTCTCTTTTACTCAGTTGTAAATCACTTTTACTCATTCGTATAGAGACATTTCTAAAAGCGTAGGCCACTCAACGCATGAGTAACATACGCTTTTATAAATGCAGGGTGTCGACTACCTGGAAAAACCTGGAAAGTCAGGGAATGTCAGGGAATTCTATTTATGATCTGGAAAGTCAGGGAATGTCAGGGAATTTTAGTGTAGGTCAGGGAAAAAAAATATGTTGATCACATTGCAAAAAATCATGTGTGGGACACATAAAAACAATCTTTAAAATTTTCTCAGTGCATGACGTCAAAGGTTTTTGGGAAGATCCCGGGCATCAGATCTGCTCGCTGCGTTTATGGACGCCCTTGCCGGTATCTCTTCGAACAAGCTGCTGCAAGTGTCCATGAATGAGCCCAATGTGAATTGAAGCTACAGGTACAAAAAGGTGGCGAGAAACTGATAGATCTGGGATGCTGTGCACACTTTGATTATTTTACCAAAATCTGTGAAATTTTACCGAAATCTCAACAGCTGAACGTTTGGTAAAAAATTTGGTGATTTTTCACAGATTTCCTGTAATTTTTCAACGAATATCTGTGAAAAATCACAGAAAATCTGAAAAAAATCACCGAACTGTTTACCGAACGTTCAGCTGTTGAGATATTGGTAAAATTTCACAGATCTCGGTAAAATAATCTTAGTGTGTGGGCTGTATATTATGCATAATGCATTCAAGGATAGTGTTCGTACACTCAAAAAATTTCACACGTTTGATGGAAGTGTTTAAACACTTGATTTTCTAAATGCACAATCACATTTGCTTTAAGTGTATTTCACCTTGGTTCAATGTGTTATACACGTTAATTTATAGTGTTTCAAACTTTGAAATGTTGAAAATCTTTCACTATCTATTCAAGTGTATTGCACATTGAATCACGCTACTGTTCAAAACAGATGGATTTAAAGTGTTTTGCATTTCAATACGATGTGAATTGCTTGCTCAGAAAGGTAAACATCGATAACAAGAGTTGTGACTTTATCCTATCAACCTGCCTCATATATGAGAACAACCGTGGCACAGTGAGATCGAACGAAGACTCCGGCAGCAGCATACCCCTAGAGTTCATGATCGAATCCCAAATCAGACCCATTAAAAATATATGTGAAAGCTCTGGTGTTCAGGCATGGTTCATAGCATAAGATTCACACATGAAATGGATGTGTTTCACAATATGCGCAAAATTAAGTGTGAGACACAGAATGATGACATGTGGAATTTTTTGAGTGTAGTATCAGTTGGGATGCTGTCAAATATTTGCGTGGTATCTACAATATCTTCAAAGATGTACCAGCAAGACGAGCGTTTATCACGATGTATTCTGGATCTACCATATTCCCGCTAAAGTTTTGCGGTGACCGATGGTTGGAAAATAGTGCTGCTGTTCAGAGGCCAATCAAAATTACACCGCAAATACGAAAAATTTAATCAAGGCGTCCAGAAAGAAAAAATCGAACCAACGACAGCTTCCTACCAAGACGTTAAAAGCGGTTTGAATGACTTGCTACTGATGGCTAATAGCAACAATCAATACGAAACTAACGATTTTAAATTGGCTCACCATTTTAGTAGCCTATTGGTCCCAAGCAAACGATTAACGTACCCTATTCTAGTCGAAATTCTAGTACTACGCAATGTTTGTTTTGATTCGCTATGTAAGTTTGACAGATAAAATGAGGGGTTATTGGTTTTTCCTATGTTTCGAGGGGTGATTCGACAAGCTTGGGACCGAAGATAGCACCAGAGGTGAGCCAAAAAGTTGAGCACGTTTCTTCGGGACCTACTTGTCTTAGAGTTACCTCTATGCTAATAGTACGTTCAGACTACAGATTTATAACATGTTATAGCACTATCTTGACGGTGGTTTCTGTGTTGAAATTATTTGACAACTGTTATAACATGATATAACTCTGTAGTCTGAACGTGGTATTACGCTAGCTTTCTTCAAATCAGTTGCTGTCGAAGTTGAGCCATTTCAATGTGAATCTCAGAAGGTCAACCCTATGGTGCTTTTTTTGTGCAACGCGATGTCTCAAATGGTTAGAGGCATTATGGAAAGGTTCATTAATATTGATCATCTGAACATCTGATCATCTGCACAGGTAAATACACATTTGATCAATATGATCGCAAAAATGAACGACGGTACGTTTTTTGGCACAGGTCGGCGTATTCAGAAGTATTGTTGGTTGTGAAAATGATTTGCTGCTTATCGCATGGCAACGCCAATGCAGAGAGAGGTATTTCGGTAAATGCAGAATATCTTTTTGAAAACATGAGGGAAGAGTCAAGGCCCAAGCGCAATGACAGCGGAACGGCAGTGGTAGCGGAAAAGCCCTATCTGAGTAAGCCTATTTGTCGGATTGAAAACTAGTTAGAATCAAATCGACTGCGGTTAGGCATCTTGATGTCATTTGTGACAATTGTCAAACTTGCCGTTTCCGTTCCGCTTCCGCCCACATTGCGTTTGGGCCTTCAGTCGTAGCGCGACGTCAGATCTATGATGGTGCTACTCATGCAGGCGGGTTGGAAAACTTACAAATTTTGAATGAACTTATTCAGCGAGTTCGAAAAATCGCATTCGCTTTCCATTGAGACAAGGATCGCCGTATGAAAGAAGTTCTCGATTCCGAGACCTCAAAATGCTCAAATAGAAGCCGACAGTTTGCAGGAGAAAATTGTTCTGCTCAAATGATAAACATTTTTAAAAGTAATTCGAAAATAAACACAACACTTGCTATTTCTCGTTGTAATGTGAACTCACTGAGGGAATAAAATGTTAATGATAATTAAACTTAAATTATTTTGCCATGTCTGCGGTTGTCATATGGAGTTCCAGAGAGTACGAAACTGACTAATGCATGAGCAGTCCATCCTCAGGTTCGGTTGCCAAAGCAAGAATAATCACTGCTCTGTTATTTTACAATAATTTATATGTTAAGAGAAAGGATCGTCTACGGGTTGATTTTTATTTGGCTGTGAAATTATGAACACAAATTGAGAGCTTGGTGACATTGATTAAATATTCCTATTATTACTTAGTAACGAACAGTGAGTCTAGTTGTGAGCAGTAGTTATTCATTATTATATTATAATATGTATTTATAACCCTAGACCTATTCACATCCTTCGTAGGTAGTCGGTCATATGTTCTGTAAAAATTGTGTTAGTATCAAGTTCTGTTGTACGTGCCATGAGTATGCAATTGTTGATATTTTCGAAAGCTTGCCCTGCAGCTCATTTTAAACTAACCTTAATTTACACTACGGTATAATAAATCACATCACGTTGTAGCTTCTTAGGTTAAAATAACAAAGTTTTGTGGACTGGAATTTTTCTGAAAACCGACTGGAAAGTCAGGGAATTTTATTTTCGACTTTGAGTCGACACCCTGTAAATGTCTCCATACGAATGAGTAAAGTGACTCACTCTTTGAGTAAGATTCGTTTTCAGTGTTCGGTTTTGCGATTTTGAGTGAAAAACCACTAAATTTTGAGGGGATCTCATCGACCGTGTATGTAGCCGTGAACAATTCTCTACCTAGCAAGGTTCATCTCTTTGCTAACCAGTTCGCCATAATTTGTGAAACCCTACAATGGTGTCATGACAGTACACGGAGAAAAAATACAACCCAAAATTTGAGTTCTTTTTATTTAATTTTGAGTTTAGCCTCTCACTTGCACTCGTTATTGTTGTCAAAAAAGGTACGAGAGATTCGACCCAACGATATAGTTCAGCCCAATAAGTTACTTTTGAGTAAATTGCGTATTCTCAAATTTGCATAAATTAAACTCAATTTTTGGGAGATTGATTGATTTGATTGGTTTTTGGTAGAATATACTTTAGGAGTATGTATTATTTTTTTCTGGTGTTAAATGAAAACTACTATATGTGATTTACTCAAATTTGGGTTATTGGGCTAAACCCGTGAATTGAGGGAAATGTACTTAATTTTGGGTAGTTTTTCATCTCCGTGTACAGTTTGTCTACACAGAAATTCAAAACAACCCAAAATTAAGTTCTTTTCACTCATCTCCGGCTCAAAGTAGTTTGCATTTAAGCACGGCAAAAAAAATTACCCATCGCTAAGTTATTTTCAATTTTTTCTACCCAAAATTAAGTTCAATTAACTCAAATTTGGGTATATCGCATATTACTCAATTTTGGCTTCTCGTACGGAACTAGATGGTTGAGTCGAATCTTTCGTTCTATTTTTGACAACAATAGCGAGAGAAAATGAAACGGGCTGAGGTGAAAT